CATTATGAAGTTTTATGTACTGCACATAATTGTACGTGCTATACTTTTACACGACCAGCAGTGCAGTAGGTTTGCTCACACCAGCATCACCAAAAACACGCAAGTTATGCAATTGTGCTACGTCACAAGTAGAGCTGCACAATTAAAAAAAAAAAATTTGAATTATGATTTTTTTTTTTTTTGCTTAGAATTGAGAGCACGATTTTCAGTAACAATTTTTTTTCTCAAATTTAAATGTTTATTTGCACTCAAACTGCAAAAGGAAACAACATGATTACGCCAAACATATGATTGATCCAGTATGGTATACCAACTTCTGACAGCAGGAAGGAAATGCTCAACTGGCCATTCAAGTAGGGTGACCGAAACAGCCATACCAACAGTTCCAGTACCAAAAGTGCCAATTGGGTACTTTCTTGGTACTTCAGTACTTTGAAGTGGGAAATGCTTTCTTTGTTGATCAATTATACAAACAGCCTGCCTCGGAAACGCAATACAACCGCAGTCTTGAAAACAGTTGCGAACTCAGAAAACAATGATAAAAAAATAATAAAGATCATAACAATGGATGTGTGGATAAGTGACCCAGAAGAACCAGAGATCAGGATAACAAGCAATGAAGTATTTTACATAATATCGTAGGACAGCACAGTATTGGAAAATTTCTAAGTATTGAAATGTTCTAATAAATATTGGGGTATTTTTAAAGCAAAAAAGGACATACATTTTTCCAAAACCCGTCTACGAATGATTTAAACAGCAAGGACGTAAATGATTTTGCATGCAGCACTCAGGTAAACTTTAAACTGATTTTTAAACATATACTTGACAGTCTTGAAGAGAAATAATTAAAATTGCAAAATGTTTTCATATGGCAGAATAAAAATGTTTTAACGAAACCTAAACTCCCGGCGCTATAATGTCCGTTAGGTAAGAAAAAACCTGATCTTAATCTAGCGGATTAGCGATGTAAGAATTGCACATGCACAACATACGATGTTGGTATTAATATCACACATCAGCTAACTCCATAAAATGCTACAGGCAATTTTCAAATTCAGTACAAAATACCCCACCTCACGCTAAGATGGTTTTCCACTGGCATAAAATTCACAAGCTACAGCATTTTCATTCACTTTTAATGTGAATTAAATTAGCTGGACCCCTATACGCTATGCCCGTCTTCCTTCCGCCACATTGCCAAGTAATCGAGAAGGAAAATTTTAACGAATGTTTTTAGCGATCGAGTAATCCGGTTTAAATCGAGTGATTGTGACAGCTCTAGTGAAATCCCATCATTAGGCCGTCCTTATTTAAACGTTCGCCAAAACTTCACAAGATTAACACAAATAGGAAGAAATATAAATACTATCCAAAAGTAGGACAGTACAGGGCATCGCAACTGGAGGGAAAAGGAAGCTGAAGCAACTTCAGAAAATCGTTCAACACATTATTCATCCAAACGCAGCCCATAGCCTATGTCAAATCAGGGTCAACACAACACTGGAATATTTTAGAGCCGATTCAGGTAAAGGTGGGTCGGGGTAGGGGGACGGGGGGGCTGGAGATGAAATGCAAGTATATTTAAGGCAGCTATGTTTCCAATTCTCAAGCAAACTGACACTGGGTGATGTAAGACCTCATTGAGTAAGAAGCTGACTGCCCCCGTTCACAGTGGAATTCCAGCTTCCCGACGGTTAATATCACATTACGTGCTGCAGGTCTGGGCACTAACATGCCGGCGCAGTAAAATGGCAGCAATTTATGAAAATCCACCACAGCCCACAGACTTTCTAAACAGTTGCATTGCCCACGAGGAAGGGCTGCAATGCGAGCTGCATGACGGTCAGCTGGCTGACTCTTCGGCGACACAGAAAAGAGGAAGGAATGGACTGATGAGACGAGAGGGCGGAAAGAAGTCTAGATTGAAACAACACAGCAAAAGTGGCGGGCAGGAGCTTTAGAGGGCCCCCCCGGCCATGACTCCCCGCTGAAGGCAAGCGTGTACCAGTTTCTGTTTCATATTGACCTTTAGACCTATACAATACAACTGTTGGAGTGATAAACATGCGCAAGGCCTACCTTGCCCCAACACACACACATCCAGCTTGCCCCGCCCTCTCCAAAACAAGCCGGTCGGCCCTTTATGTGGCACTCCCGAACCCTGCACACTGCATGTCCCAGACGTCTCCACACCCAATCACATTTCAGAGCCAGATGCCTCTAAGGACTCACAAGGGCAACAACAAAGATCCAAACATGCCAGCACCCGTGAGAGACGTTTCCACTCTGCCGTTCCCCGGCAAAGCAACATCGCCGCAACCAGGCTGCATTATTCATGCCCTGCAGCACAGACAAGGTCTGTAATCTTGCCATGCACCTGCGGTACGGTTGCAATTAGAAGGCAGGAACCATAATTTTACAGATTAAAATGTGTAGGTGAGGAATAGCATTTAACTTAATGATGTTTACCCCCCATAAACAGATCCTATATCCTGGTCTGCTCCAACATGCACTAGACAAATCTGCAAAGATCTTACAGTTTTCAGAAACCTTTCAGTTGGAAAAACAAAAGCGTAATAGAATATTAAAAGCAAACCATCTTCAATTATAATTATGCAACAGAAATAAATGCCAGAGGTTGTGAGAATACTGAAGATTTTTTAAAGCCTGGAAACCAAAACCAGAGACAGATACACGATTTTCCTACTGATATGTCCTAATAGATAGAGGTGGTCACATGACTCAGAGTGCAGAACAAGCCATGCTTTTACAGCATAAGCCACATTGTAACCATAGAAACATGGATGCATACGACTAATCATGCCTCCCAAGGTAAGGCTTGTGGGAAGTCTCCATTTTAAGCCCTACAAGATACCATTAGGTCTGCACAGCTTTTACAGAGCATCTGGATTTATTTCACACCAGGGCTGTATTATTCTGCTTGCTGAAACACATTTGCTCCCAAGTGCTTTTGCCTGAGACAGACATCTATCCTCCCTTAATTACCCTCACCTGCCCCCCAAATTATGGCTGAGACCCCTGTTCTGAAGTCACACTGATGAATGAAGTCTGGAGCTTTCTGGTGCTTCAGCACCCTGCCAGAACAACCTGATCAGCAACTGGCAGCCATTTAATGACCTTGCCCTGTAGGAGTCACATCTCTGAAGATATCCCCACAAATTAAATGCAAGCGAAGAACAGGCACAAACATCCGTCTGAACAGCAACATAAACAAAGTAATAGCTAATCACATGATTATTTTGGTCAATAGTGAGACCATGACTATTTAACACGATTCTTTATTGACTCTCGGAATATCATGCATTTATTGAACTTAATAAAAAAGTTTTTAGCAGTGCATTTCTTTGTACAACCGAGAAACAAAAATAGGCTGTAAAGGGGCGCACTGGGTTTGCAACAAGACAAAACTGGAGCATTATTGTGAAATAAAGTGTGGCACAATTTTCTCTCTATTTTGTTTTCATAATCCATTACTACCACACGAAATTGGACTCCTGCTTTCCTATTATGCTGATCTGGACAAGGACTCCATTGCAGGGCAAGGGGCTGCACTCCCTGCAAAAACAATGCCTGACAGCCCCTTTAAAAACATTTCATAGGCAGAGCTGGCCAGCTTGTTTTACATTACGATGCCCTGACAGGGAGATGGGGAATCTCACTGTTGATACTTCACAGAGTTTTATTTACTCAACGCTAAAACTTCGCAGTCCGTAAACACAAAGCACCATGAGGTCACGCAAATCCTGGCAATTTTACAGGTACTTCCTCTCCGTTTTATGGAGGCTCCAATATAAGTTGGCTGAATCCTGTCCATTCTTTTACGTTTTAACTTCAGATAACCACACATCCGACCTTGGCGTCAATATCGACGCTGGTTTTTAGGGAGGATTCAGCCTCCCGTTAACCGCAGACAGGCCGGGGTCACGTCGCTCTTCTGTTTTAATTACATCAGATCTCCCAACGTTTGTAAATTTTACAGTTTCATGGCAAACAAAAGCGACTCTGAATACACTGGCTACATTAGGCCTGTTTGTTTTACTGAAATTAAAATGAACGGCCGCCAATAACACAAAAAATGCATATTCCCCGCAGGCACCCCGCCGGCGTTTACCTGCACCAGACAGATTTTACATTTTAAGCATTTATATTCTCTGTCCGATGGGTTTCATAAAATAGACATTATGTACAAAAACTTCCTGGTTGTCAATCGTGAGAAGTGTGATTAAACTGCAAAAGCTTAAAAGGACGCATATATTTACAAGACGCTGAACAGGGTGCGGCTAACGTGAGAAGCGGGACTGGCCGCTGCACCTCGGCAGACACGGCGACCCAGTGTTTTTCTGATGACATTACATATAACGATTTATTTTAACATCATGTTTCTATTTCTGGTAATCGTGATAATTTCATGTGCAACCGGCTCCCCTTTGGTTGCAGCCCGTGAGCCCCGCAAACACGCAGATCTCCATCCACGTCCATCGCCGCAGCGCCGACGTTTGCGGATCCGAGCCAAGCAGCCGGCAAACCCTCCGCGCCTCGCCTCCGGTTGGGGAAGGAAACGCTCACAGCCCGGGGCTTCAGCGAAAAACAGTCGATTTCTTTACTTTTAATTGCGTGGTCGCGCCTCTCTGGAGGTGTACCGAAAGTGAAATACGAAAAGCTGCAAATGCATGAATAGTTTAGAGGGGAAAATAAGTGCAGCGTGTTCGTCTGGTTCCACTCCCCTCCCATTTTCTCTACGACATGTGGCAAATGGTCTTGGCGGCTTTTGATCACCCCCAGAGTTCAGGAAAAAAAACCAGAAACCTCTTTGTATCAAGGGCTACCCGTGAATCCGAACCGCACCGCGACCATCCAGGTCCCCTTAGTTTCCATCACCTGTATTAAACAGCCAAGCCAGGAGATACAAATGCATCGGCAAAGCGGAATTACTAGCTGGTACAGATTCATACGGCAGCCTGAAATGCAGCATTTACCTCTTTCGACCTCTTCCAGCACGTATTCCACTAGGCCGGAGCGACTGTGCTGTCCGATGACGACAAGCAGGGAATACTTATCATTGCCAAAGCCAGGGTGAAGAGATCGGCTGGTATTTTCTATCCTCTCCATCTCCCCAGACTGTCCTGTCGCCATATTGCGAAGTTTGACTAATGGGATTCCAGTGAGAAAGTGCCGATTTATGAAAAGGGGCGGGGGCCTGGTGACTGGCACGTCTCCCGGCCAATAAGAATGCAGGCGGCCAGTAGCCCGTGGATGTCCGCTTCAAAATCAGAAAAGAAAAAACTCCTAAGTCCGAACTAAAAATGTCGAACGTTTTGCCATTTTCATTGAAATGATCTTTCGGATATACCTGTCTTATATTCGGTTTCGTATTTAATATTAAATTGCATCAATCCCTTAAAACCTTTAAACTGATTTAGCTCAATGATATTATACTTATTAATCTTTGGCACTGGTATAACTGCACATTAAGTCCATTTTTAAAGATATCTCGGAAGTAAAACTTAAACACCAGAGTTACCAGGATCCTAAACTATTTCCAGATTATTAGCCATTATGAAATTTCTGGGTTTGTCATGACTGCCAGATACCAATAGTTTCAAACCTATGTACAAACGCTTTAGCACTTTGACTGCAATTTCCTCATTAGGTAACTTCATGTTGATGAATTGAATTTGTTATGAATAGATTTCTTAACTTCAGGCAACTTAGCGCCTCTTAGTGGTTAAATATAGCTTAGTCATTTAAGGCTTTGTTTGAAGCTAGGTGATTCTAAACCCTATTTACCCCCCCCATTTGTTGTTTCAGGCCCCCCACCAAAAAAAATAATTTCCTAAAACTTTTTAGACCTTTCAATTTGTCCTGTATTTTCATATACATGTTGTACCCCCTGTTTAGTAAATTTTGTGGGGGATTGGGGGTGTTGTGTCCCATATTTCTTTGAAGAGTGGAGCCCTCCTGAAACTCAAATCCTAGAATCAGCCTTGCTTTAGAGGTTTGTATAGTTTTAAAAACTGGTGCTTTATTAACTCTTTATCAGGGCTGAACTGTTTGTCGGGCACACCTGGCAGTTTCCAGGTGGACTGTTGGGTATGTGATCTGGGAAAATTAATCATTAACTGACTAGAACTTGAGGAAGTGAAACCTTCAGTATGGACATTTGTGATCCAGAAAGTACAAATCCAGGACACAATTTTATTTCAACCAACCAGTTCAGTGCTCTTTGACTGTGACTCTTTATGCTCAACTAGTTGGTTGAAAGAAAATCTTGGTCTGGATTTTTACTTTCCGGACCTGAAAAGTCCACCTACTTAAACATACTTTCAGCCTGTCTGGTTCTCCAAGGGGAACCACTCAGTCTCAACATCTGTTTACTAGAGTGTGGTGTGAAAACCATATAAAGACTGGGAGAAGGTATGGACCACCATAACCACCCCACTGCTATTGCATCTGTCCATTTTCCAAGTGCTGATCCACTACAGCTTCCTTGAAGTTTTCTGTAACTGCAAATACAGAATGTAAACAACTACAATTACATCAGACACCCACAGGGGCGCCGTAAGGGGGTGGAAAGCTAGGACGATTCCAAGGGCCCCTGAGTGACAGGGGCCCTAAAAAATTAGGAAAATAACTGGATTGGTTTGGACTGGGGGGCCTAATATGATATGCTTTCATGGGGCCCAAAATCTCTAGCGGCGCCCCTGGACACCCATACAGCAGAGCTGTAACATCCTGGGAAGCCTCAATGGAATTATTTTTATATATAATTTAAATATGGAAGCATATACGATGAGACAGCAATTCTACTTTTCAGAGAAGCATGGCCATAATGTAGATTAATGTAAATTATTATGTCAGTGAAGCAGAAGGAATGACTTGGCCCATACACACACGCAACCTGTCAAAATTTTGATGCAGCACAATGTTTCTGGGCTGAGATTTCTTATATAGGTTTCTTAAATTCACCAAATTCGTATTTTAGATTGGCTGTACAGACAGAGTTATATTCAGGGGCGTACCTAGAAATTCTGAGCCCCCTGACAAAATGTCAACTTTGCCTCCCTTCCCTCCACTGGCCAATTTTAATTTATAAAATGTAATAATTTTACATATTGAAGGTCCTCTATCAAGTGACGGACCACCTGAATCTGGCAGGGTATCAGTGGTCCTCTGACATTCCTGCTTGGATATCATTCCCTATAATTAGCTATTTCTTCACATTTCATGACTTTGGGACTTTGAGTGGAAATCCATGATGGTATAAGCGTTTCGTAAAACTGAAACTGATACGTTGTTGCTGTTTTACTACGAGGGACATATTTCTGTAAAATCCAGAATTAATTTGTAAGCCATCACTTAGAATGATCTCTAACTGAATTGCGGTTGCCACAACCTTCAGGACAGAACGTTCGTCCATTTCAGTTAAATTTGATTAAATACGAAAATGGAGAATTATATACATATATGTCTTCGTTTAAAAATAATAAAGCTATTTAATATCATAAAATATGTCATACTTTTATCACAATGTAATACGTTCACCAAACAGCACTGCGCAAATGCCCCCTTGTGGCGGATTTACTGAAAGCGGGAATGATAAAAGATTTTACAACAATCCGATTCGTTCTCATTTTCCATATTATTCAAAATAAAATTATTTGTTTGATGTTACGTTGTAAAAAAAATGACTGACTGAAATATGTTTGATTTTCATTAGACGAAAATTATTTAAGAAATTGAAACTGATTTTCTAATTTTTCTTTTCCGTTAACGAGCTAGCTAAAAACTAAAAACTTTTAGTGTATGGAGAGAGTTATGAATAATGAGTAGCGGGAACTATTAAATATATGCGTTAACACTAATGACTATGTCGAATGTCACATTTTCTTATATGTGCCATTTATTAAACTGGGGAAAAAACAAATGATGGAATGTTGTACGAAGTATAAGTGTATAACGAGACTGCAGAAAACGGAGAGTATTTTAATCCTGCTGTGTGTGGATAGGCTACTTGATTTGTGATTAGCCACAAGAAAACAGGAAAATCTTTTTTTTATTGAATAACAAATAACGTACATAAACAAATTTGAAAGTACCTACCTTTACAATACAGTTTTCAGCAACCATTTTTTTCTGTTTTCTGCAAAGGAAGGATATATATATATATATACCCCCTAATTACCATATTCTAAAGTGACGTGAAATTTCACATAACACATAAACTAAGCAAATATTAAATTATAAATTTGTGTTGTGATTAAGCAGGGAACATAAAAGGGAGAATGAATTTGGGAGACAGTGGCAAATTAGGGGCGACATTAAATTACCTATATATACGATTATACAAGTATAGCTGGGGAGTATTTTACTGCCATATAAAGCATGCAGCTGTAACCTGAGGCATGCTGAAATGAGGTGCAGCTCATGAACTTATGCTAAGCCACTAACAACATATTCCATAAAGGGTCATTTACGTGTGCTTAGCCCCTTTAAGCTGCAAATAGAGTGTTTTGATATTGGTACAAAATTCAAAGCGCTACAAATGTTGATCCTAAATCGACTTCCAACAATGAAATCTGTTTCAAGATATTCAGACAACCTAAGATCAGATGTTCCAGAAACGGAATAAATGACAACGATATGTTTTGATTTACTGTAATGCACAATAGAGTAAACAAACCCCAGTTTATTGTTTTTGGATTTTTTTTCTACAAGCACTTCAAGATGGAGAAGTTACAGGAGGTCCCTCGCGGACAGTTGCACAGCCTTCCGATCCTCGCGCCCTTGCGCACCGCACACTGTTCGCCTGCATCGCACTGAACACGGCAACAATAACAGTTAGCGCTTGCTCAGTTAAACACGATAGCTCAGCACAAACATAATATTATCTTCACATAGTGTTGTTCTTTTAAAATTGTACAATAATTTTAAAATAGAGACAAATGCGATACATTTTAGCTGGAGAAAGCAATAATTTTATTTTGGATGAGAGCCTTACCGATGGGACCCAGCCTAATTTCTTCTCGGCTGACGGCAGTCGCTTATTCTTCAGTTTTTCTAGGACTTCCTGCAAGGCTTCGATCTACAAAAATGCGACGCACTTTAACAACGTTGCGATATGATCCCGCATGCAACTTCCACAAAGTATCTCCGCGTAGAATCTTGTTTGTTTATTAGTTTGTTTCTCTGAGTTTAATACATTATAAATTCTTTACTGTCAAGATAATACAAAAACTTCTCGTCTAAAAATATTTAAGATGATACTTATTATACGACGAAAAACAGGAATATTTATTATAGGGTACTGTCAGTGACTACATTGAAACATAAACAACCAGAAAGTGCACCATTCTGATATAATTCATGTTAAGTTAGCATTTATGTTTACCAGCTCTTTCTCTTCTTGGGTCTTGTCCTGGTTCTCCGGGGAACGCATTTCCAGCGACTCGTCACAATTAACCAGAAGAAAAAGCAGGGAGCCGATGACGCCCAGAAGCCTGAGCCGTCCGATGACCATAGTGCTAACAGACGCTGAACTCAGGAGAAGCAGCTCATTGCCCCCGACCGTCAAGAAATCCATTTTATACTGTAGGTACTGACATCAGCTGATGCAATATTAATAATGTTGATTTATCACTGGAGACCTGGTTTCTAAGGCCAAATCCAAATGTCCAGTTATCAAAACCAAGCTATGTTAGTTTTGCGTAGGGGTTAAAAATGCAATCTTCCCTTGAACATAATATTGGCTTCCGTTTCGATGAAAATTTCAACTTAATTCCCACCCCCCAAGATATTAGTTATATTTATTTCAAACTTTTTCCCCCGACCCTGACACAGTACCTGATTCTATCAGACTAAATCGAACACAAGAAGATTTTAAAGTCAAAATTTCATCATGGTTGAGAAACGATCCGCATCTATTGACAGATTATCAGAAAATCTTCACAGTCCCAGAATGCGGTGATTTCTTTGACTGTTCTTCAAAAACACACCTTGACTGGTTAATCGTCCAAATGAATTAGTGGTAGGGTTAGTGTTTACCACCCTGAATTAATTTCTAGCTGAAAAAAGGTTTTACAAAGAAAGGTAATTATATAGGCCTGATAAATTGTGAATGTTGATATCTTTATAACACAGGTGATTTAAAGATTCAACATTTTGCAAAAAAAAAAGCTCAACAAAAACCTCCTGGCTAAAGCACAATCACATTAATTTCCGTGCTCATATCCGTTTGACGTTTGTGTACCTGACCCTACATGGTGACCAGTATCTTGTTCCAATCTCTCAATGTTAACCTTGCTGCCACTTTGCGTCACTCGCAGAGCGTCACGTCCTGATAGACAGACATTTCTATTAGATTCCATCCCTTTCCCATCTGACCCACTATTAATCATTTTTCTTTCTAAATCAACCCCCCTCCCCCAATGTAGGAACAGTCTTCAGTTACATCTACAACTTTAGCAGCAGACTGGTAATAGATTCCAGACTGATTTCCACCAAACCTAGGAATGTCCAGCGTAGGGCAGATTCGACCACTGCCAGGACATTAGATATGCACAGTGTCTAGCCATCTAATACTGATTCTTCAAACATTGCAGCCAGAGGGCAGGAATGAGGAAGACAATGGCGAGGGAAAACGCTGGCCGTCAGATTTAAATGGATTCAGAAAGAACGTATAATATAGTTTTCATTAAATTCCACAGATTTAAATGTTAATACTTCATCGGTCAAACATAGCATAAACTCAGATATCGCACACCCATTTTCTGGAATGTCCAGTCCAGTTTATTGGCTGTGGGTGGACAATAAACTGGACTGGACATACAACACACAGCACCTGTACAAAAAGAGCAAAAGCAGGCTGTACTTCCTGAGGAGGACTCTGCACAAACTGCTGTCCATTATGGATAATGTCAGGCAGCCTCTGCACACTGTCACGCTCAGTGACATTGTGCTACTCCTCAAATCCAGAACTGACACTGTCATTAACAACCAGAGGAGTACGCTCAGTGACAGGATGCTACTCCTCACATCCAGAACTGACACTGTCATTAACAACCAGAGGAGTACGCTCAGTGACAGGATGCTACTCCTCACATCCAGAACTGACACTGTCATTAACAACCAGAGGAGTACGCTCAGTGACAG